TGAAAAGTCCCAGTCTTATTAATCTTTCCTCACATGGCAGCCATTCCATACCCCTAATCATTTTTGTTGCCCTTTTCTGAATCTTTTCCAATTCCAATATATCTTTTTAGAGATGGGGCGACCACATCTGCACGCAGTATTCAAGATATGGCTGTACCATGGATGTATATAGAGGCAATATGGTATTTTTTCGTCTTATTATCTATCCCTTTTTTAATGATTCCCAACATTCCATTCGCTTTTTTGACTGCCACTGCACATTGAGTAGATGTTTTCAGAGAACTATCCACAATGACTCCAAGATCTTTCTTGAGTGGTAACAGCTAAGTTAGACCTCATCATTTTATATTATAGTTGGGATTATATTTTCCAATGTGCATTACTTTGCATTTATCAACATCGATAAACACTTAGTGGCGATCTTTTCCTGTAAAATATGAATTGGTAATGCACTTTTGCTTTTGGGCACAGAATTCAAGAAGTTGTTGGCCGTTCTGATTCATCTTGCCAATGCCAAAATGTCCTAGGCAATCTGGCCATGAGTTGTTGTCTGCACTGACTCTTGCATTAAAGTCACCGAGGAGGAAAAATTGCTCAGTTGATGGTATTCTTTTGACGACTTGATCTAAAGAGTTTTAAAATGTATCCTTCTCCTCAGGGCTAGATTTTAGTGTTGGTGCATAGGCACTAATGATCTTCACATAGCCGATGGTCGTCTGAAGTTTAAGTGAGATGATACACTCTGACTTCCCAATGGGTGTTTCTAGGAGCTTTACCCACTTGTTTCTCACAGCAAAACCGCCACCGTGCAGACAATTTTTTTCGTTGCTTTTATCTTGTCAAAAGAAGGTGTAATTGGCCTCTTGGACAGAACCAGCATCTGCAAGTCTTGTTTCCTGAAGTGCTGCAATGTCAACATTGAGTTTGTACAGCTCACAGTCTATCAAAGCTGACTTTCATATGCTGCTTGTGTATTGTAGGTCGTCATCGTCTGTCAGTCCTGGACACATGGTTCGACATTCCAGCTGCCAAGCCAGAAAGTTCTTGGTTTCTTCTTTTTGCCAGGTGCAAGGTTTCCATCTGCCATTCAACTTTTGGTTTAGCCCCACGCACCCCATGAGGCGGGCAGACTGTGGGGGGTCAGCACCTAACTGTCGGGGGGCTGCCCGGCTTTGTGGCAGGCGGTGGCTGACCAATGGAACGCAGTGATTCCTCTCACCATCGAAGGTGACCTGTGGCGCCCTCCTCTACGCCAATCAAATGAGAGCTTATAACCCATAACTGCCACCTTCTGTGTTGTGTCCATGTTGCCAGCAAGGATGGAGTGTCCTCTCCATGTGATGTGGCTTCAAAAGCCTGGGCAGTTGATATGGAGGTGCTGCTTTGCCCATGTGTCAGCGTTCCCCTCTTGACTTCACTGGTTTGGGCCAAAGGAAGGATGGGAGTCAATATATTTGGAACCAGCTATGCTGCAGGAGTTGCCAGAGCAGAGGAGATCTTCCCTTTGCCTGTCTTTCGGGGCTCCACTCCTAGATTGATTATCAGCCACAGCTGAAGGAGTCAGCATGTCCTGTGTGGATGTCGTTGGCACAAACACTGAGTGAATTTGCTCATCCGCCTTTTGATGGCGTTTCCTCCATCAAGGGTTCCACTACCTTCCTTAGGCGCTCATCAGTCCAAAGCCATTGGTGCTTCCTGAGGTTTCTGGGTTAATTAACTGCTGCCCAGCACTCAGCGTTGACCAGTACAGGTTGTACCGCTTATGGTCATAGCGGTAGCAGATTTTCAGTTCTGACCTGACCATGCCTAATAGGTTTAGGAATACCACAGAGAACATATAGTAGAATTCTAAAGGGGTTTTCTTCATAATGATGACATGAGAATATAAAAACATTCCATCCTCCATATGTGGCAAATTTTCTAAGCTACCTCCCATTGTGTAGGAGTCAGAGTACCAATGCTGCAGAATGTGAATTAGAGAACCACAGTTTTCATTTTAGATTGTTTAGAACTATGCGAAGCTGAATGCAAAGGAGGATGGAACACAATTTGTGTAAACGCTGCTGCTCTAGAAATACAAAAAAAGTTTGGAGTGAATTCCTTAGCCTCAATAGATCACATCTTCGTTGTTTTAATGTAGTCTCACTACCAGCTGTACAAATAGCTTTTCAGCCTGTTTTGCATATAGGTAGAATTGAGATTTTTCATGGAGAAGGCTAATGCATACTGATTCATCCAAAAGAGAGTTCAGTGCTGTATGGCTAGCATCTAATTTTTGAAGGGTAGTTCCCTTGATACCATTTCTTACTTGCTTCTACCTTTGACTTCAGTGGACATTTTGTTTGGGAAAGGAGCACAGGATGCTTGATTTATCAGACTTAAACATCTGAAATACTTTCTCATTTGAACTCTTTGTATGTATGTCTTATTAGAAGAGTAAATGTGCCTTTTCTCCTCATACAGTTTTTTCAATATATATGATGAAAATAGTGGGATTTATACAGGCAGGTTTCTCAGTCTTTTCATTCTTCTTGAACTGAGAGAGAAATTTTAAATTCTGCCATGCCGCCTCAGCCTCAGCATGTTATTATTTATTTAAGTATTTATTAGTGGATTTAGACATAGGTTAGGGTTAGGGTTTCTGTAATAACTATTCTTGACAGGTAGGATTTACATTTTTCTGTATTGCCTTATATTGTGTTTAATTGTTTTTATTTTGCCACAGTTGGCTAGGGTTTTGGGTCTTTATTTGATTTTGCAAATTAACAAAAACATTATAAATAATTTTAAAAATAATTATTGCACAGTTATATAACTTGTAGAAAATGGAGTCCCAAGGTTACAAATAATGTGCTTTTAAATATATAGGCAGTCAAGTGCATTGACAATTATAGTTATTATTACATACACACATTTTTAGGGCACCGCGTGCTATGATGTGAGGGCACAATTTAGATGGCTTACATTTTGGTCTTTTAACATTTCCATACAACAAGAGCAAATGTTAAATATACACAAACATTTAGAGGACCTTGTTTCCAGTCTTCCATGTATTTCTCAGCTATCACTTAGATGCCTGATATTTTTAGATTCTTTTATAAGTGTAGAGTAGATTTCACGCTTTTATTGCCATCTGTTGTAAAGGTTTCAGTGTATGCTGTTTCATTTTAATGCCAAAAAATGTGACACAAGTGCAGCTGTTTTTTAAAATGTAGCCCTGAATGTTTGTTTTCAAGTCAGTGAATAAAATTCAATTCAAGAGTTATTTAATGCCAAGTAAACTAATGCCAGAAGCAAATACATGTATATGTATCTATTTCAATTTATAATGGCATAAAAACCACACCCCTCTGGTATTCTGGGCATCTTTTGATGTTCTTTAAATAACAACATAATAAAAACTAAGCTAATACACTTCCAGGAAAACTCCACCCTCAAAACAACCTAGTAGATGGTACTTACCCACCAGAACTCTGTCTCACAATATAAAAAGTCAGTGTCACCCAGGCCCAACCTGTTCAGCCACCAGCCCCTGTTTTGTTGAAATGAGGGGATTCCTACTTGAGCACCTCAGATAACCACAACTGTGGCAGTATGGTCATGGGAAAACAGCAGTCTGTCAAGTAGGCTGTACTTGAGTGATTTATGGTTTCATAAATGAGAACAAGTATCTTAAATTCCACCCAAAAACTAATAACAATCAACATAGATCACAGAATAAGATTGAGCACTTATTGATGGCAGACATAATAGGCTGTCTTCTTAGGAGCAGCCCAGTAAAGACAATAGAATCATGATATCTTAGAAGATTCAGAAATATATATACTAAAGATTAATAATTTTATCAGAAATATATTAGAAAATCTAGAGGTCTCTGCTGTCTGGAATTCTTGGGGAATTTTAAAAGTTTTATTAAATTGTCATATTACTGTTGTTGTACCCAGGCTGAAAGGGACTGGATAACTTTTTAATGGGTCTCTCACTTAGAGAGCTTAGTCACAAGGGACAAGGCCTTAAACCAGGGATCAGCAACCTTTGGCAGGCGGCTCGCCAGGGTAAGCACTCTGGCGGGCCGAGCCCGTTTGTTTACCTGCGGTGTCCGCAGGTTCCCACTGGCCGTGGTTCACCATCCCAGGCCAATGTGGGCGGCGGGAAGCGGCGCGGGCTGAGGGATGTGCTGGCCGCCACTTCCCGCCACCGCCATTGGCCTGGAACGGCGAACTGGGGCCAGTGGGAGCCGCGATCAGCCGAACCTGCGGACGCGGCAGGTAAACAAACTGTCCCGGCCTGCCAGGGTGCTTACCCTGGTGAGCCACCTGCCAAAGGTTGCTGATGTCTGCCTTAAACCAAGCAGAGATCAATAATTAACCTCTGAAAAAGCAGACAAAACATTTCCCTTTGATCAAATTTCAGCGTCTCGTTTGTCTTAGTCTGAAGTTCGGCTTCATGGTTCTCAGATTGAGGTTAGTGAAATCCAATTTCATTTAGACTAACCTTGATGCTTTCAGATTAAAAATGGACTCCTAACAAGTCCTTTGCAGTACACTGTGCAGTAAGGTATATATGGTCTTGCTTTCCCTTCCTCATAAATAGAATTAAAAATTATTCTAAAATGTAATTTGCATGTAATTCAGTTAAATTTAAATAATATGGATAATTATTTCTAATTAATTTTAACAAATACTGTGTTTGGGCTATAAATAGACATCAGTTCCTCATATTTCCATGGTCTTTGTACAATTAGAACAAGAATGAATAAAGAATAAAGCAGCTCCACAGTATTTTGACATTACTGTACTGTACTTTTAATTGCCTGTATTTAGATAAAAACAGAACAGTATGTTTGTATAAATTTTGCCTGCACACACTTCAGATTACCATCAACTGCTATCATAGAAAAAGTGCATTAAATTCAATAATCTTATGTTGTGTTTCATTGTTCTTTCACTGTATTAATACTCAGGATCCAATTCTAGTGATGGTATCTCTCCTTTTTGTAGGTAGAAAGGAAGCGTCATATTGGAAATGACATTGTCACTATCGTGTTCCAGGAAGGGGAAGAATCTTCTCCAGCATTTAAGCCTTCCATGATTCGCTCTCATTTTACACGTATCTTTTGCTTTCTGTTTTTTTAATTGACTAAAGCTTGTTTACAAACCCCCATTAAATCCTTCCTATATGCCATTCACAGAAGAGAAAAGTATATTTTAAAATATAGATAAGACATCTTATAGATTACTTAATTTTGTATCCCTAAATCTGAGAAAATTCTCCATCATGAACTACATCAAAGGTGTGCAGATTAAAAACAAGCAGACACTTTCAAATCAGATGCTTTTATTACTAAAGAATTCTTCAGATGGCTTCACAAACTTAACTCCATATACATTTCCAAAAGTATATTTTCAGAAAATACTTCTGCTATTGCTGTGAATAAATGTTTCAGTATCTACCGAATGCTGCCTCATGACATTTAGAGATCATTTATTTTAGATATTTACTATAGATGGGATGGGATACACAATTAAAGTAAAAAATACCAAAACCTTCAGGATGATGGGTGACATTTTAAAATTGCATTATGACCTATAGAAATGAACACAATACTGAGAGTCAGGAACTTGTGAGTTCTAAACCCAATTCTGATATTGACTACATGGTCTATTGTTGTTGCCCCTTTCTTCTCACCCACTTGTTTGTTTTAGCCATATGTTGGATCTTGTCTTTTAGATTTTTCTTTGAGCAGGGCCTATCATTTACTATATGATGCTAAAGTGCTTAGCACAGTGGGGACCCACGTCATAGAGGCCTCTAGATGCTACTGTAACACAAATGTTAATAAGAAGACTCGGGGAAGTCACTTTATCTCTCTATACCCGAATTTCAATATTAGTAAAATCGTGACAATAATTCTTACCACATGGGGTGTTGAGAGGATTAGTTAATGAATGTTGAAGAGGAATATTTATCTCTTATCTAACAGTCTTGGGTTTCAACATTCTCAAAGTTCTAAAGCCATTGGTCTAGACATGTGAAACCTGCGAGAAAAACACAGAAATTGGGCTTGCTTTTGGCTTAATTGGCTTGTGAGTTGCTTGTTGGCTATTTTTTGGCTTGTTGCGGCTTGTTGCTTCTTTTTTTTTAATCAGCTCTCCGCAAGGAGGGGCAAGGGGGGAGAGAGTCGGGGTGCACAGTGGGCCCACCACAGTCCCAGGCTACACACAAGGGGGACCTAGTCACATAGAGTGTTGCGGTTCTTAGGGATTAGCTTGTTTTGGCCTTGTTTTGAAATGGGATTAGCTTGATTTTTGGCTTATTGTGAAAGTCAGGGTGCTTATTTACCGTGTGAAAGTTGCCAATTGTGCATTGGTCCTGGCAGGGAGCATCCTGCACCAGTCCTTGCTATGTAATGTGGACACTCCCTAATGTGCTAGCTGCCAGTTCTTTTCAGACCATAGGTAGTGGTTGAGCTCCACCTTCTCCATGTAATGGGATGGAAAGCTAATGTATGGCTTTACTCCCTCACTCTGTTAGCAAAGGTCCTGATGAAACTCCAGAGAGACACCAATTCTAATAGACCCCCTTTTAGGACAAGACAGACAGATTCTTGAGCCTGTTTAGTACATTGCTAATCTCATCACGTTGAGAGTCTGAATATACTGGATCATAGGTGTAGAGCAAGTCTTTACGTCTCAGCCTGGGAATTCCTCTCTGTTGCATGACTCTTGAGAGAAGTAGACTTATTTTGTCCAAGCAGGTGTCCCAGTTCATCCTGTGGCTCAGAAATGCTTTTGGGCTGGTGTGAAATCCTACATGGATCCTTTTACATGCCCAATTCAAAAGTCAGTTAGCTACCACCTTCCACTCTGAGTTTGGGACAAAGACATCGTCCCTCTAACCCCACTTGGCAGCTGTTTTAGCATTTAAGGAACTGGATATTAGGCCAGTGTCTACAGTAGAGGTGGGCTAATGTTTTTGCTCCAGTAGTTCATTCACTGAAAAATGAAGTTTTGGTCAACTTTAAACTATTCACAAATTTGCTAAATCGTTTCAGTTAGAAAAAAATAGGGGTAGATTAATAAAACAGCTAGAGGAGTAAGTGGTATCCACTTTGTAGCTTCTAGCCCAATGGTTAGGACATACACTTGGGATGTGAAAGACCCAAGTTCAAGTCACTTCTCTGAAACAGGGATTTAAATCCACATCTGCTCACTCACCTGGGAAGAAGGAAGTGGGTTCACATCCTTGCTCCAGGCCTAGCATTTGGACCTGGGTCTTCCACATACGAAGAGAGTGCCCTGACCATTGGGCTGAAAGTTATGTGAGCCACTTCTCCTGCTGCCATTTTGTGAATGATTTGTTTAACTCAAAATGGACTTTTAATTTCACCAAGATTTTTTGGAAATTTTCTGATTTGGTTTGACCCAAACAGAATTTTATTTTTATTTTTTAACTGCCAGTGAACTGAAAAACAAGTTCTTCTTCGAGAGATGTCCCTGTGGGTGCTCCACTACAGGTGTTGGTGCGTCCCTGCGCCTTCGCCCGGAGATTTTTGCAGCAGTACTCATAGCGGCCACGCATGCTCAGAAGCTGCCCCCCCTGTGACTCTAGGTTAATAGTACGCATGCGTGGCCGGTCTCCTCAGTTCCTTCTCAACCGTCCCCGGCCTGAGACGGAGCTCAGCAGACTCATTAGAAAATCCTTCACTCTTGCCTCAATTACCCTTTAGTAACCAGTTCTTGTCAGTTTTCTCTGTTAGTATAGTTACTTACCCAGTTTATCTGTTTAAAAAAAAAAAAAAAAAATTTCTGTCAGCCGCGGCTATGCCGGGCTCCACAGGTTTCAAGCGCTGTGCTACCTGCAAGGAAGCTATCCCATTATCGGACGGACACTCAAAGTGCATAAAATGTTTGGGGGAAGCTCACATTCCCCAAAAATGTGCCCACTGCTGTAAACTCAGCTCCAGGGCACGGAAAGACAGGGAGCTTAAACTCAAACTGCTCCTCCTGCAAAAGTCTATCGGGTCAGTTTCAGACCCAGGCGTTGAAGCCGGCTCCGCTGCCCGACACAGCCCCCCCACCTCAAAAAAGCTGAAAAAGTCTACGAAGAAGGGGCACCTTTCTTCACCGAACAAGGCTATGAGGCATAAAGTCTCTCCAGGCAGATCAACGATCTCTCTGCCTGTGTTTCCTCGCCTCAGCAATTTTCATGAGCCAGGCTCTTCGGGAACCGCGCAAAAGCCGTCTGAGGCTCCAGCGGCGCCGCGAGGCTCCGGTGCCGAGGCATCAGGCTTCCAGTTGCCTGCCTCAGTTACGGCACCGTTCGGCACCGCGATTGAGACGGTGCCGACATTCCACAGCATGCCTGACCCGAGGCAGCCTGATATTTCCCGCCCGGCACCGACCGCGGCACCGACGCCTGCGGTGCACTCTGACACAGAGATCACAGGCAGAAACCCCGATCGCGGGAATGCTCTTGTGCGGCAGCCTCTCCCGGCTCAGCTTTCATCTCCCGCAGGAGCTTCATTAACTCATTTTACCCAGACAGCAGATCTTCTAGTATCACCTACCTTGCAGTCTCCGCTCATGAATGCATATTCTTTTTCAATGCCTGAGTCAGGATCTGAGCAGTTTTCCTCCAGTGAGGAGGAAGCAGATCCACAAGGAGTTTTTTCTCCATATCATGACTCCCAGCCCCGGACCCAGAGCAATAAGGGTTATGAGAAAACTACCTCATCCCACTCTCAGGACCCTGCCTCCTGGGGGGTGAACCCCTGGATGGCACCACCTATGCCCTACCCACCACCATGGCAATACTGGGCACCATGGGCATCATACCCTTGGGAATACATGCCCCGTGGCCACTCGACCAGGCGCAACACTGATCCAGCGCCGTCTCCTAACGAATATGCCAGTGACACGAGACGCCTGACAACACAGCCACGCTCCCAGGATAAACCTAGCCCTACTCCTGTTCCAACAGAACCGGAGCTAGCACCTGAAGAAGCATTACTTCCTCTTCCTCCTACTCCCTCTGATGAATATACAAAATTCCAGGACCTCTTTAAAAGAGTTGCTAGTGACCTGAGAATTAACCTGGACGTGGTTACCGAACAACAGCATGAGCTAACGAACATCCTACAGCCCCCTTCTTCCTCCAGAGTGGCACTCCCAATTAACGCAGCCCTTTTAGAACCCGCTAAGTCCATCTGGCAGACTCCAGCGACAAGCCTACCTACCTGCAAGCAAGCAGACAAGAAGTATTTTATTTCTCCAAAAGACTCTGAATTCCTTTTTACCCACCCAGCACCAAATTCATTGGTAGTAGACGCTGCGAACCAGAGGGCTAGACAACAGTATTCTCGTTCTGCCCCACCCAACAAGGATAACAAACGACTGGACCTTTTTGGTCGCAAGGTCTATGCATCCTCCACCCTCCAATTTCGTATAGCTAATTATACTGCAGTCCTGGCAAAATACGACCATAAAAACTATAATAAGTTAATGGACTTTATTGATGACATTCCAGAACAAAGAAAACAACAGTTCAGAGCTATGGTTTCTGAGGGCCAAGCCATTTCACGCACCGCTCTCCAAGCAGCCCTCGATGTAGCCAACACAGCGGCAAGATCGACCGCTACAGCGATAGTCATGCGACGGGGCTCATGGCTCTCCTCTTCCTTTTTTCCTCGCGAAGTTCAGAACACAATTGAAGATCTTCCCTTCGACGGTGACAAACTCTTTGCTTCTAACACGAATGAAGTGCTTCATTCAATGAAAGACTCCAGGACAACCCTCTGGTCTCTAGGTCTCCAGGCACCTACGACCAGAAGACGACAATATCGATACCAACCGTACCACCGGCCACGTTATCCCGCATTTACACAACCTTCCCATAGACCGCAGGAACAGCAACAGCTGCAACGTCAAAGACCAAGATTCCAGTGACGTCGCCCAAACTCTGCAGGGGCACCTCAACCCCCACCAGCTAATAGGCAGATTTGAAGACTTGGTCTAGGGTTTAGAAAGCAACGCCCCCACTTCAGCCGCCACACCTATCTTTGGACACCGCCTACGACCTTTCTTCCATCAATGGAGGAAGATTACCTCCGACAAGTGGGTCTTAGAGGTAGTTACAATTGGATACGTCATCCCCTTCCTCTCCTTACCTCCCACCCTCCCCGTCCCTCTTCAGGGACCCTTCTCACGAGCAGCTACTCCTCCAAGAGGTGCAACATCTCCTTCATTTGGGAGCAGTAGAAATCGTGCCAGAGCGACACAGAGGGAAGGGTTTTTACTCCCATTATTTCTTAACGGAGAAGAAAAATGGGGGATGGCGACCAATCCTCGATCTCAGGCGGCTCAACAGATTCATCAAAAAGCAAAAGTTCAAGATGGTGACCCTCACTACCATAATCCCAGCGCTGGAGCAGGGCGACTGGTTTTCTGCCCTCGACCTACAAGATGCCTATTTCCATGTCACCATACATCCGGCCCACAGACGTTTCCTCTGATTTACCCTTGGTTCCACACATTTCCAATACAGGGTACTCCCCTTTGGACTATCTACAGCCCCCCGTGCTTTTTCCAAGCTTCTAGCTGTAATCACTGCCTACCTCAGGAAACAAGGGGTCATAGTGTTCCCTTACCTCGACGATTGCCTCCTCAAAGCTTCAACATTCGACGAGGCCCTCCGGTTCACACGGCTCACAGTCGATTGCTTTCTATCTCTCGGCCTACAAATAAACAGAGACAAATCCACATTACGCCCCACCCAGCACCTGCAGTTCATAGGCGCAGACCTCGACTCCCGGACGGGGCTAGCATCGCTCCCACCCGATCGCTTCAATTCCATAAACCAACTGGTCACAATTATTCGCAACAGCCCTCAGGTAACTGCCCGAGACTGCCTGCAACTACTAGGTCACATGGCCTCGTGCACTTTTGTCGTCCAGAATGCACGCCTATACATGAGGTGCTTCCAAGCATGGCTGGCAACGGTTTACAAACCAAATATGCATTCTTTAAACAATACTCTCTTCCTGCCTACTCCAGTCAAAGATTCGCTACATTGGTGGACCGTCCACTCCAACCTCTGTTCTGGAGTCCCGTTTCTTCAACAGGCTCCATCACGCATTCTGACCACCGATGCATCTATGACAGGTTGGGGTGCACATATGTCTCATCACACAGTACAGGGACTATGGTCACCAACCGGGACCTCCCTGCACATAAATGTTCTAGAACTTCGAGCTATTCGCAATGCGTGCCGTCACTTCCTGCCACTAATCAAGCATCATCACGTACGCATAATGACGGACAACATTGC